TTATGATATACAAGTCATATTAAACAACTTTGAACTTCCAACTTCTTCCGACGACGTTTTCATAGAAATTGATTTAAGATGTCATTTACAATCCACTTCAATCCTCGCCCAATCTCGACCATCCAGACTTCTTATGATATACAAGTCATATTAAACAACTTTGAACTTCCAACTTCTTCCGACGACGTTTTCATAGAAATTGATTTAAGATGTCATTTACAATCCACTTCAATCCTCGCCCAATCTCGACCATCCAGACTTCTTATGATATACAAGTCATATTAAACAACTTTGAACTTCCAACTTCTTCCGACGACGTTTTCATAGAAATTGATTTAAGATGTCATTTACAATCCACTTCAATCCTCGCCCAATCTCGACCATCCAGACTTCTTATGATATACAAGTCATATTAAACAACTTTGAACTTCCAACTTCTTCCGACGACGTTTTCATAGAAATTGATTTAAGATGTCATTTACAATCCACTTCAATCCTCGCCCAATCTCGACCATCCAGACTTCTTATGATATACAAGTCATATTAAACAACTTTGAACTTCCAACTTCTTCCGACGACGTTTTCATAGAAATTGATTTAAGATGTCATTTACAATCCACTTCAATCCTCGCCCAATCTCGACCATCCAGACTTCTGTACATGCTTTTTGTATTTGTTATTGTTTTATGCTGTGCTTACAACCATTCTTTTTACGTTTTGTGCAAGATTCCTAAAGATTTGCGAGGGTCAAAATCGGTGACATTGCTCCTTTAATAATTAGCTGTGGATTGAAAGAGATACAACAAACTTCCCGACGAAGGGTCTTCGGCTTGATATATTATCTCATACCTAGCGTATTAGCGGCTTTCCTATTGGCTACGAGGAGGTGCGTTCAATCTCGAACCCACCTGTAACCTGAAGTTCAGGCCCTAATTTGAAATAGGACCTGACACAAAACCTGTCTAGACCGTGGGACGCCCACATGTTATTTTTAGATACAACATGCAATATGATTGACAAGTGTTGTAGAATTCGTTACACAAAAAAATTATATTCTCTCATACATGTCCTCAGAGTGTGCATTTTGCTTTTTAATTAAACTTAAAAATTCAAGATACTTTTATATAATTAAGAGTCAGTTTCTCTATTTAACCGAACAGCAAACAAAGATTTAATTAGTCAGTTCTGTGCACGGCTTGACTCCCAAACTTTCTCAAGCCAAGGTCTCAACTTGCTGGACGCAGATATACTCTAACGACTAACGGGCTAACAACAGCAACAATGAAATTCTCAATCGTACCAGGAAGAAGGCGATGTAGCTCAGAAAACAATGCCGGTAGGACTTGATATTAAAAATAAGACTTTTGCCGGCGAAGCCAGTTGGCAGAACATCTTAATGCCTCTTGGCTGTCAACAACAAGCTTTCGAATACATGACTAGTTTGGCTGTTCTTTCAGCGTCGTGTGTCCAAAATTCGTCAAAGATTTTGATGAAGCCCTTTCAAAATACTGTTTGTTTGATTTATTTTCTGCCATAAAGCATAAAAGAAAAGAAATTCGAAGAAATCGATAATGGAATTTGTTACGTGCGTTTGACCTTTATACTAATTGTCGCCTTGACCGAGCTATTTTTAAAACTGTTGTTTATGCGAACTTGCAACCAATCAAAATCCTTCATGATGCTGATCAACCAATCAGATTTCCCGTCCACCAGATGGACGGGAATCCCACAGTTTAGATAGGTTTTGTGTCAGGCCCTATTCTGTGATTAGGGCCTGAACTTCAGGTTAACCCACCTGCTGACGTGTGTTTAGGAGGTGGGTTCGAGATCGATGTTTTGGCGGAGGCCATTATGAAGCGATTTGAACAAATTTCCGACGAAAATGTAAATAAAAAATAAATAAACTGTTCTTAATTGTTTTATAATTATTATTTTTTTATTTCGTTTGATGAAATGGAATATTAATTCTGTATTCAAAGTGGAAGAGAAGAAAGATGGCCGCCGAAATTTGTTCGGCACGGGCAGGTTTATATAAATCTTGGCAACGTTTTCGCAGAATGTGTGCATTTTCTCTTTTCAAGAATGAGGGAATATTGTAGAGAATTGTTTTAGCTCCAATTTAAGCCTAGGTTTGTCTGTTTTCGTAGTATGTTGGCGGCTAAAATGTTCGTTATCCAAACAAGAAATTATATACATTACTAAAATGCGTAAATTCTTTAATACTTTTTACCGAAATGGCATGTGATAAAAACCAAACATACTTACAGGTTCAGTGAGTCTGGGATTGGACGCACCTCGGGTGGCTGGAAGTTTCCCGAACCCACCTCGCTTCGCTCGGTGAGTGCGGGAAACTTCCAGCCACCCTCGGTGCGTCCAATCCCGACTCACCTCCCTGCAAGTATGTTTGTTATAATATCATGCTCAACCTCATTCAATAATTAACAATTATTGAATTCAGTTTTCGCTTTGAAGTTCATAGCGAGCTTAAGCAAGCCACGTTTTTGTCAACACGGACTTCATCCGAAAATTGGTAGAACTAATAATCGCGGCATTTTGTATCATAGCGCTCGTGTAAGAAAGCAAAAAACTTTAGAAATCTTCTGTTTTGTCATATGTGTTGACGATTACCACAAACTGATACAAACACAGTTTTTAATCCAGTCTCCCCCCCCCCCCGGCAATCTGACGTCCGTGTTGACAGAAACGTCGCTTGCTTAAGCTCCCTAATATGACGACTTCACAGTTGGCTGTTAGTCAATGAGAATCCATGAATTATTTTAAATACATAAATAATTGTTACTTATTAGACTTGAACGATTGGTGCTAGTAGCGACGATAACAGACAGCTGTGGATACAACTACGGTGCCACCTGAATTTCAAACAGATTTGTATGACACGAGCGAAATCATTTCAACAAAAAATCCGCCTTCTAATGTCAAACTGAGGCCTTGATAATGTCAAACACAAACTGAGGCCTTGATAATTAGTATGCGACAACCATATCATGCGACAACCAAATTCAACAATTGTTTTATTATTGATTTAAAAGATTAAACAGTACCGGTTGTAAGAAGCCATTTGTGTTGTGATACAATTCCTCATCCTTCGAGTCGCCACTGGCATGACGTCATAGCGTTTAATACTATTTTTCATATCAACGTTATGACGTCACTCCTTTGAATACTATATCAAAACCCCAGATTTGGTCAGCTATTAAGTTGTTCTGACGATTACACAGTTGGTAGTTAACCAATCAGAAATCATGAAGAAATACCGTATTTTAAACGTGCATGCATGGATTCAGCGCGATATATTTACCGCGATGTAAATATAAAAGACCTTTGGTTTTTCCTTATAGCGATTTTTTTTCTTTTCTTGGCTTTTCTTGGTAAAGACGTTTCCTATACAACAAAATAGATTTCAACCAGCTAAAGTGTTCGTACCATATTTCATTTCAGCAGCTTTCAAAAATAACGCAATCCATTCACCAAGTAGTGACTGAGGATCTGCAAGATTGAAGACTACGAGTACCTGAAAACAGAAGAATGAAACATATAATATCAAACCCGAAGATTTCTACAACGCCAGCAGTGTACAAAAAGTCGAGTGTAATCTGTGTCGTATTCTTTACCAATTTCTCCTGGATGCAGGAGTTGCAGGGGTATATTTAGTTCTCCAAAGATTACTACAAAGATTATTTATATCTACTTCAAAAACTCATTAATAATTCTCATGAATTGAGTAAGAAATTAGTCACGTGCATACGTCTTTATACCAGCTAAAGAACACTTTAACAAAAGACCATTGTTATGCAAACCATATAAAGATTTTTATATAAAGATTTTTATATAAAGATTTTTATATAAAGATTTGACTTATTATGCATACGTTTTTGAAGCCATTTAAAAACTCGCAGGTCGAGTTTTATTAGGTCTAAAGCCACTCGCGCTGCGCGCTCGTGGCTTTAAACCTAATAAAACACTCCTGCTCGTTTTTTAAATAGTACATGAAAACCATGACATTTATAGAACGAAAAATATCGGCAAGGTGAAACTTAACCTTTTTGGGCGAATGTAATTATAGAATTCGCGATCATATCAGGAAATGTTACAAATACAACTGAAAAGCCTGAAAAATCTGCCTAAAAATAAAACTGTAAACAAAAACATGGGAACATCTTTATATTAAAAAGCGATTAAATCGTGTATTTTTCATGTTGCAAACGCGTATAATACTTTCTTAGTGCTTTTGACCGCTCTACACGGGGAATTATACGCAACGATTTGTATTTAAATGCATTTTATTGGGACAGTAAAAAGATGTTAACAGCTAGGAATTTTGATTTGCTTCCGTTATATATAGTGGCGCGTAAGAGTATGTATATAGGTCGCTTCAAACTTTGGTGCAAGCCATATCAATTATCAAACATTTTTTTCTCAAAACATTTTCACGATAGTTGGTTAAAATGCCACGCATTTTTACACTGCTACTCAAATTGTTGTTCGACATTATGCTGTTGAATAATGAATGTAATGGTGTCTTGGTCGCTGAAAAATCACTTCTTTGGCTCGCCGTTAGTTGGGACAGAAGTTTGGCGTGCATTTGCATCGTGTGTTTTTTGAACGACAGTGTCTAATTCTCGCAACGCTCTCCAGGGAGAACGCGCGCGGCCGAGAGGCCCTGAGGACGAGGATGATATCGATGCTGAACCAAAGGAGGTCCTGGGCATGAGGTAAAGCAGTATATAGTACATTCTAAAAACACCCTGGTTAAAATTTTCCTGGTTAATCTAGGAAAAACCTTATTTGGGTTAACGTAATATTCCTGATTAAATTTCCTGGTTATTTTATCTCAGTTCTTACCAGATGGTTAATATATGTAACCAGGAATCTGAGCAGGACAACTTGGTTAATTTTAAAATAACCAGACTATGTTAGGTGGATAAACAACCAGGGGCAAAGGGCGTACAATTTTAAATACAGTGCATGCCTATAGTTTTCACATTTACCTTTGTAGTTTGTTGACGAAGTGACTGGCATTTAATAATTTCGAGACTGTTTTCCAAGTGAGAGTTTTGATCAAAGGACTGGGGAAGATTTTCCTTCATAAATTGAGCAACTTCTTTACCAACATGCTTCTCCAGAGTCTTGACATTCCGTAATGTATTCAAAATCCATGGTGTTTTAACTGCAGGAGTGAATAAGATCCGTCAAAAATTCATAAGATCATGGAATGGAATGGAATACACACACACACACAAACACACACACACACACAAACACACAAACACACAAACACACAAACACACAAACACACAAACACACAAACACACAAACACACAAACACACACAAACACACACAAACACACACAAACACACACAAACACACACACACA